GCTTAAGTACAGGAATGCTGCAGCCTCCTGTGCAGCATATTGGGGCATGCACATACATGTAGGTACTGTGTGTGTACAATCCATGTATTTCTGAATGAGGTCAAGGAGCTAGAATTAATATTCCACTCATAACAACTTAACATAAAATGGTTTGACACACTGTGGTTCCTCTATTTTAACAGTTAAAAGCATATTTGCTGTCTAGATTCCAGAGGGATACCAGGACATTTTTTCTTCATCTTATCTTTCCTGGCTTGGATTCATATGGAGTTGTAAGATGATATTCTAAACCATCACAGAGTGTACAGCACAGAGGGCTGCCCATTTGGCTCCTGGTGTTAAGTGGTTTGCAGGGTAGTATTGGGTGCTTGCCATGTTTGGATTGCAGGCAAATCAAATTTAAACATTAAAATTCTAGATCCATATGGGTCCAATAAGCATCTTGGAGAGTTCAGAGCCACAAAAACACTTCTCACCTGTTGGCTCCTGGTGTGAAAACAGAAGAAAAAGCAGCACTTAATGGAATAGTTTAATTTTGAATATTAAGAGAAGATACTCAGTGTGAGAGGGAAGGATAATGCTTGACTATGACTGTTGTTTTTAATGGGGATGAAAAGATTTTGGCAGCAGAAGGAAGTTTGGGTTTTTGGTTTGGTTTTTGGGTTTTTTTTCCCCTAACTCTAAATACCTGCAGTTCTCAATGGCTGGATCATAATTTAGCAAAAGTAGTCCCTTTTCCAACTCTTTCCATACCTTCTTATCAGTTTGGGAATTCTGACCTGTGGTGCAGATTCCAGGTGCCAGGAAACTGGGAGGAAGAAAATCAGATGCCTGCTTTGTGCTGATAGATCAGAGACAAGATCCAGTGGAGAACTGGCTGAAGTTTAACAAATCACTTCTTGGGAACCTGAGCCAATTACCTGGAATGGGTTTAATGATTAACACTCAAGGTGAAAAATCAGGGAACATGACTTATCTTTGGATATCGACTTAAAATGGCCCGAAAGAATTGCTAATTTAGCCTCCTTTGTTACAGAAGTTGAAGAAAGTGCAGGTTTCTTGCATAGAGCTCAGAGTGTGTTGATTTGAGGTTGATAATACACCAAGACTGAGTCACAGAAACTCACAATGGAATTAATTTCAGTACAGGTGAAAACTGACCTGAATTCTGAGTTGCTACGGGACTCGAGTGCACCCAGTGATCCAAGGGAGATGATACCAGAACATGATTCACAAATATCTCCTATCTGATGAATGGTATTGAGTATTATGGTGAAGTGTCCCATTCCCAGCTGTGCAAAGTCAGTTCTTTTCGACTGGATGTTTCAAAAACTGAACACCCAAGGTTTTTCACCTAGATGAGATGTGCACACTCTGGATGTGGCACACTTCCCTGCTTTTGTTGAGTTCCCATCATCTCTGGTCTCTTAAACATTTTCACAAGGACATCAGTGGATGTAGTTGGAAAAGTAAAGCACTTAGGCTTAAGTAAAACACTTTACTTGGCTCCCAGATGCAGTTTGAAAACTTTTGCTGCCAGATTTCAACTTTCACCTCAGAGCTGTTGTTTTTTAAAACTTTGTGTTCCTTGCACCAGTAGATAAAATTATTGTTGTTACTGCATGATCTTCTGTGCTGCCTCCTTGTTTTTCCAGGCTGATAGTTTTATTTTTAAATGAAAAATAAAATGTATTTTCATTCCTCTCTTGGGTTGCAGCTTCTTATAATTTTGTATGTAAAGGGGTACGAGGAGGGGAAACTTGTTGTAATCACAGAAGGTATAAAAGCAAAGAAAAATGTTATATTCCAAGAGGTCTTTTCATTCTTAAATTGCTCTGCCTGTGGATAGTAGGTATTTTGAATTCCTAAACCAGGAATCTAGATTGATCAAATTTAATAAAATGACACTGTGATTTTTTTAAATTGCTTTTGGTTCTTCCTTGTGAAAGAAAAAGGTAGATTTCTACTTAATGTATATTTTCTTTTCCCAGGGTAGTAAATTCTGTGTGTGTGTATTAAGCTAAAACTGAAGTTCACTGATTTCATCCCTCTGTACTATCCTGAGAGAAGGTTTGGAGTAGTTTTAGGAAAAGCAGATCCTGGAAGTTGGGAGTAGCAGCCATTCCAGAGGAGCTCCCTAAAAGAGATGTTCATCGTGAGGAATGTGAGGCATCCTGGCAGACTTGGCAGTGGGTTAATCCAAAACACCTGGGCATTATTCCTGGGTTGGTAGTTCCCAAACTTTTTATGAATTTGAGGCCTTTTTGTTAAAATATCAATGCAAATACCAGTGGTGAAATTTGCTGCATGTGCATTCTCATGCTTTACTGTTGTGTTTTTTACAGAATTTTCTGGCCAGGTGTTGCAGTTTAGGATAGAGCTTATGGCACGTTAGTTTAAAACAAAAAAAAGTTTAGTCTAACAATGAGATGAAATTTGTTTCATTTCCCCCAGTCCTTTGAGGGAGAAAGTTTTGTGTGGACTTTGTCCTTTGGGTGTGGTGTAACTTCAGTCAGTGCTATGGAGTTGTGCGCTTGGGAAGTTTGTCATTAAAACTGTCCCTTCAGCGGTTCCTCTGTTCTTCTTCACCTCAAGACAACCAGCATAAGAAAGTCTAAGTGTATTTCAGTGGAAAAAATCAAATTACATTAACCTGAAACAATTAACTTCCAAGCTTTCCTAATGGACTCTGTGCCTGAGCAGCTGTGTTCTGGCTCCATGAGAAACTCCTGCCCTTCCTCCATGCTGTGGCCAGGCCTGTGTGGCCACCTTGTCACTGGTGCTTGAGATAATTTGTCCAAAACCCCTTGCAGTCATTAAAAAGACATTGGAAGTGTTGGCAAATGTACAACTGCATTGTTCCCATAAGTGTGCTGGAGAGAGGATATTTCCTCAAGAGTCCTTAATCAGGTACTGAACAATTACAGCTTTAACTCCACCAGTGTTTCTGTGAAACTTTCTGATCCTTTACATCAGAAATTCCTCCTGCTCTGAACAAGTGGTTTGTGGAAGGTGGTCTTTTGTTAGTTTACATCTTGACACCTCTGTTTCATTGCTCAGGCATGTAAATCCAGGAAGAAAGGAAAAGTAAGGAATCCTCTGAGCACAGCTATGCCTATACATTCTGATGGTAAATTGTAACTATTAGTGCTCACAAAATCCTATTTATTCAGTATTCTGCCAGCCCTGTTCTATTCTTTGGGGGTCTGTTGGTGGGATGTTGAAAGTACGTGGAGAACAATATTTGGGTTTGTGTTTTAAGATGAATACTTTGGATTTTCAACAGCTGTTTTGTAGAAAACTGTGCAGAACTGGTAATGCAATAAGTAATGGAGTAAATATTGTAGAACTCCAATGCTCTGTAAGTTATGATGTACCAGCCCCCCAGCTGCATAATGTTTTATTAGTAATCCTCCGCCAGAGCTCAGTCTTGTCTCCTTTTGGGATATTCTGCTAAAGGAGTTTATTCAGTCCTCTGGGCATCATGGTGAAATATTCTGGTGTTGGGATATTACACAAGGTAATGAAAATCCTGAGTTTGTGACTTTACATGAGGTAACACAGTCCTTGTCCTCTTCCACAAACTGAGTGTCGTCCAAATAGGCAGGACAGAAGAATGGAGCACATCAGCAAGATAAAAAGACTCTTTAAAAGTAATTGGGGTTTACTGAATAGGAGAAGTAACAAGCAACTGAAGTCATCATTGAGAAAGTGATTTTTATAACAGAGGAAGGAGGGAAAAAAATATCTTGCAACGGTCTAAAGGAGAGGGACAGCAGGTTGTGAGGGGGCAGAGGCTGTGAAGGATGGAGGAGATGGGGTTAGAAAGGAACTTTACCAAAGAACCTCACCACAAGCACTGCCCCACTAACAGTGCAGCACAGAAACTTCACCTGTGTTTGCCTGCTGAGATCCATGGCAGAATTCCTGATGCATGGCATGTGGTTTGGCTTATTGAGCACTTTAGAGTAATGCAGTGCTGTTCCTCACAGGCCACCTAATGTGGTAATGGTTTCCTGTGTTTAAAACAAGTTTCCATTGCAGTAAGACTATTCTAATAATGCTAGTTATCTGGAAATAAAAGGAATTAAAAAACAAAATAAATGGAAGGTCTGCATTTGAGGGAGAAGGGTGATGTGTTTCTTCAGTGTTTGCTGCTGCAGATTGTGTTTTAGTAAGATTTGTTAGTGCCCACTGATTTTTAACTTTCCAGTGATTGTGGCTTTTTTTCATATCTATGTACTTAAAATCAGTTTACCATGATTACTTTGCACTTTTTCCATAGTATATGTTGGAGTAAACTGACATTTCTCAGCCAGGTATTCATTTTGTTTCTTGGCTTTCTTTTGCTTAAGGTTGTGCAAGAAAAATATTTTTAACATTGGTCAGTGTTCATTTGTTTGTTCTGAAAGGGTGTGTGAAATGAAAAATTGAGACAGAAGTAAACTGTGGAATAAACTACCCTGGAAAACCTTTCCCCTGGAGAAATAGTTTTGAATTTGCAGTGCTGTCTTTGTTTGAGCCTTCATTTAGATTTTAACTAGGTGCTTTCTGATTATTTTAATGGCCTCAAAGAGAAACTGCTGAAGTCTTAGGAAAAGACAGTTCAAACTCGTCACCTCTTACAGGGCTGGTTCTGTGTGCGTTGTAGTCAGTCACTGTCCTGATGCTCTTGCTAACTCAGGTGTTTTAAAGGTAAATTATGGATTACAAACAGCTTGAAGGCAACTGATGCTCTGTTGTCCTGCACAGTTTTCTTGCTGTGCCAGAAGCAACTGAATAACTCACACTGAAACTATAAAAACGTCTGGGTTTTTTGGGTTTTTCTTTTTTCTTTTTTTTTTTTTTTTCCTTCCAGATTCTAAGGTACAGATTTTTCTTCTTTTGTGGACTGCTTGGAAGAAAGAATTGCCTGTCTTAGAAGCCTGCTTTAAAATGCCTTCTGGTTTATGAACTCACATCTTTTTTTCCTCCTCCCCAACTTCCCTTCTGTTTTGCAGCCATAGACCTTTTGTATGGGGGTATATACTGCTTTATGTGTCAAGATTACATATACGACAAAGACATGGAACAAATTGCCAAAGAAGAACAACGAAAAGCTTGGAAATTACAAGGTTTGGTTTTCCTGCCTGAATTTCTTGTTTCTGTTTTTAATCATACCTGTCCCTCCCATTTGTTCAGTGGCAAAAAGACACTAAGGGGAAGAGTGAGCTCTTTAGAGAGAGTAGTGCAGGCCATGTTAGTTAGAGATGTTAGTTCTTGCTTTCCAGGAGTCAGACTGGGTTTAACACGTGCACCACACCTAATAGTAGCAAAAATATTTTGTTTTTAATTGCAATAAAAATATAGAAATATGTAACATTATTCCTGCAAAATTTGCCATAATATCAAAAGTTAGATCTGTATTAGGTAGAGAATGTAACAGTCTGCTCCTTTAGGCTTATTTACATGGTACAGGGCAATAAATCTGTTCCCCTCACATGAAATGCCACCCTTGTGTGTGATTTTTTTAAACTTTTTTTTTAAATAGAACATGCCAGCTTACTTACACACCTGTGCTTTCATGGTACACACACAGTGTCTGTGTAGAAATATTTACACACAAATATATGTACACACATTTGTTTTATTCAGTTTGCTTTCCCTAATTTTTTCTTTTTTAGCCTTCACCCCAACAGTGGTTTCTCACTACCAGTGTACAATGACAGGTAAGAGGCGTGGGCTGGCGACGCACCTCACTAACAAGCGTCCCTTTGCTGATTATCCTGCCATTTTAGACATAAATCACAGTTAAGAATGCCAGTTTTATTGTGCAAATCGTTTTCCTCTTGTTTGGATATGTTCCAATGATTGAATAATTGCAGCAGACTTGATTTCATATGCCCTTTCCTTGATAGAATTCCTCCAAAACTTTACTCTTTTTTTGTTTTGTTTTTGTTTGGAAAGGAGATCTCATTTATTCTAAGCTGAGTAGTCTGTAAGCATCAGTTTTAAAAGCTTGTCATCTTCCATTTCCAGTGGCCTCTGGGGGGTATGTTTTCTTAAAGTGGGAAAGTCTGTATTTGAAGACAGATGACTTCTGTCTAGTTATGTCTCTTCCGGAATCCATGGCATCCTGTTTCAATGTGACAGCCTTAGTCAGGGCTGATATGACTTCAAACCATTCTTAACCTCATTTCCAATTTTAAAAATAGCAGCTAACATCGTATTAACGAGAGCTTTTCTGCTGGCTCAAAAGATAGCTGCATTCACTTAGTTCCTACTACAGATCCCAGTCTGCTTCCTGCTTGTTCCCTGTTTGAGGGAACGGAGTCAGAGGAAAGAAGGATTGTGAGTCCTAGAACAATAAATACATCTTAAAATGTTTTAGCACAGAGCACTGGTTTTCAAAGCAAGACAAAATGGTAATATGTTTAAAAACCTTTCATTCAAGCTCTGCACCTCTTTTGGAAGCTCCTTCAGTCTGTGTTTGGGGCACCAAATTAATCATCTGCAACAGCATAACAGATCTACATTATGCTACAGAAGAGGAAACCTCCCCCAGTTCCTTGCTTTTAAATATGCAGGTTTAAAGAGTAATTTCTCAGTAATGTTGTTCTTATCGATTGATAGATTTGTGCCTTGTGGACTGAGATGCAGCCACTTTGTCCTTCCTTGGACATCAGCCTGCTGTAGTTTATATTGCAGGGAGTTACAGCTACAAAATTGTTCCTCTGGTCATCATGGACCACAGAGTTGTGCAGAGAAGGCTGAAGATTCACCCAGAGGAGCTGCCAGGCAGGAAGCCTCTGTGCTGATTAACTGACTAATGAATGGCACATTAAATATGTATACACAAATGCATATTTGTATGAATATGCACATTGCATCTTCTGTCCCTGGAGAACTAATCTGTAGTGACCAGTGAAGACAGAAAATCAAGGAATAGACAACAACACTTTAAATTACTGGAGTCTGCAATGTAGACTTTTTTTTTCTTTAAAGTCATGGCATAGGTTCTTTTTTATGTCTTATTATGAATCCATGTGTTTCCTCAAAAATTTATGTAAGGAAAGAGAAATGTACATGGGAGGAATAATGGAGAATTATGTCGGGTTTTTTCCTTCTCTCTCCATTGTTCCAATCCATGTGCTCCCTCCCTCTTGTTATCTGAAAGATCCCTTCTTGCTCCAAACTGAATGTCAAGAGGAGCACAAACCCCAAACTCGGTGTCTTGGGTTTATATTGCTACCACAGAGTTAATTTACCTCAGATCTTGTTGCCAACTCAAAGAACTTCAGAAGTGAATTGAGTCTGCAGAAACTGATTGGCTTAAAAACTGAAGGGTAAATGCAGTATATTTTCAAATTGTTCTCCACAGTGCTTGAAGTGTGTTAGTTTATACTTTAATAGATGCTCACATAACAACATGATGCCTGGAGAAAGAAAAAAAAAAAACAACTTTAAGAAAACCCCCAAATCATGAGATTCATTTCGTACTCCTGTAGTGTTAACTCCCAGTGTGCTGAGTTCCCCAGTCCAGCTGTAGTTCAGGGTTATCTGATGTAACTCTGAACAAGTTGCAACTTGGCCAGTAACTTTTCCTTGGGTATTGAATATTAATAACAGGGGAGGTGAGAATACACAGAGCCCTTTGTTTTAATTAATGTTTGAAGTTTTGGGAGGGGAAAAATTGGAATTTGCTGAAGTTTAGCAAAGTAAACAATGACTGAAAAATTGTGACTATTATAAACTAGAGCCTTCAATGCCTTTCCCTTCACTCACCCCTATGCCCCTGATGAATTCTCTGAGAAATGCCAATTTGAGTATTTCACCCAATAAAATAATTTCTTAGATGGAGATTTCACATGCTGACCTGAATGTCTGACTATTTTAATGCAGCATTTTAAAAATTACTAATTTTCACTTCTCTAACACTAATTTCTTTTAATTGTAAATGGTGACCTATGCATGGTTTGCAAATCTTTGTTTAAGGTAGTTTATATTGGAGTTTTTGGCATGCTTGTGAGTGTTATTAGACCTCTTTATTAAACCTCTTTCCTTCTTTGTCTCTTGGTTGTTTTTTTTGTTGTTTTGAATTTTTAAACATCCAACCATTCCTAATAAATGGCTCTGCCTTTTCCAAATTTTCAAGAGTAATATAACCTCAACATTCCTGCTAAGTTATATAGCTGGAACAGAACACATTTTAATTTCTGTGTCTGACTTAACTTGTGCTCCTTCTAATGAAAGGCTTCTGCAAGAATGTTTTCTGTCTGGTTTGCTCTGTTTGTGGCATTAATTGCACATGGTTTTTTGTTTTCTTTCATTTCTTTTTAATTGAACAAATATTTGATTCATCCAGAATCCTTGAAAGTAATCCAGTCTGTCATGTTTAACCTTACTTAGAGTTGCTCTTGTGACATGCTTTGGTCCCCATCCTCTCCAGCATTTAAACTATATAATTATATATAGATATATATAAATATATATGAATAGTGCTGCTGATATACATGGAGCTATTGCATGCCTAAAGTGCACATGTGTTTCCAGGTATGAATTTTGTTGTATTTGACTTAAACCAGGATTTAAACATATCCAAGGGGGTGTTTTTAAATTATTATCAGGGTTCATCACACTGATTTGACTGACTGTGTTTGGCCATGTTTTAACTGCAGTGAACCCAAACACAGGAATTTTCAGCTGCACAATGCAATTGCTGGTACTAACACTGTGTTACCAATGAATTTATATAAATTCCTAAGGGAGCAAATATGACCAGGGTTGCTGGAGACATCTAATGCCAAACCTGTTGGAAGCCAATGTTCCATCCTCTGTGAAGTGTCCATCTGTGCGTCTCCAAAGGGTCTCTGCAGACGTGCAGTGTGTCCAAAGCATTGCAGCTGTGTTATCTCATCAGTCTCAGTCATTCCCTGCCTTTTCTGTTTTCCTGGGTGTGTAGCTTGATGCTGAACCTTGGATAAAGGAAAGGGATTCTGGTATTGTTCCTTAAGCTCCTTCCATAATCTGTTGTTGAATCAAATAAAGTGAGAGATGGGTATATTTGTGTAAATAAGAATTTTCTAGTCCTTGAGAATCAAAAAATCAGACCTATTACTAGAACCTGGAGGGTCAGTAGTAACTATGAATTGAACATTTTTGGGAGGGTAGCTTCTGACAAGCATAGCTATTTCTGAAAATGAAGATCAAAGAGCTATTAAAATTTAATGTATATTATGCAGAATGTGTAAGCCTCCAGCTATATTTTTCTACTATCCTTTTCATATGTATGATTTATAATTTATTTTCTGTAGCAAAGCGTTGCTTCTGCTCCATGCATTCTGTGAAAAATAACTCTTAATTGACTTTAATTCTCAGTTTTAGAATAGACTGCTTGCCATCTTATAATTCTTTATTTTTAATGCCGAGATGCCTTTGTGATTCACAATAATTGACCTTGCACAGCAATTTCTGTGCTACATAGAAAGCTGCAGCAGTATTGAGCTGGTCAGCACGTGAGTCTTCACTGTTGTATTTTTCTCATATCAGGTTTACACTGAACACAGCTATGTGCTGATTTCAAATCTGGTCTCCATACTACTGGCCTGACTCATTTCTACTGCACTTTCCTTTGAGCAAAAGAAATCTACTGGAAATGCAATGTTAGTGGTCAAAGAGAATAATGACAGATTTTAGCTCATGAGGAAGGGTAGTTTAATGTTTGGAGAGTTTTGGCTAGTTGGTGGAGGGAGGGTGGTGTTTAAACCTACTACTAATTTAATTTTTAGATAACATTAGATATGTCAGCAAAGTGAATGTCAAAAATTAAAACTGTCTAATGGTACAAGGAAAGGTCATTCTATGTAATGGCATATCCTAAGACATGTAGCAACTATTTAGTATATTGAATTATTAAATTCTGCTGTTCTCTAAAGATTATCTGTCCATTAGGTTGGGTCAGTTTAGATTTATTTAATAACTTGTCAAGCTCATCGATGCTGGTTCTGTCATTTAACCTCCTCTGAGCACAAATAAATGGTTTTTTGTGTATTAGCAAGTTTATTCTTGTGCTGGAATTTATTTTTTTAACTGAAAGGAGGATTATAATCCAATAATGGAAAGTTTTTGCCTATCTGTTCTTTATAAATAAAGAAGTACCTTTCTTTTCTTACGTTAGTTCTTTGTTGGAAAATTTGTTGATACCTTTCCAAACCCTATTTTTTGAGAAGGGGTAAAAAGCAGTCAGTGCCCTGAAGTTGTGCATAAATTGAATCTAACCTAATGGACAGCAAGTTGAAAGTTTTGACATGAACAGAATTTTTAATCCTTTTACTAAAGAACTTCCTGAAACTTTGTTTTCATCTGCTTAGGCATTGGAGAGAAGTATTCAACATGGGAGCCGACCAAGAGAGAGTTAGAATTGCTACGACACAACCCCAAGAGAAGAAAAATAACCACAAACTGCACCATAGGTGAGTTCCAGAAATCTTTTCTGGAGTTAAATTGTCACTGATTTGTATGTTCAAAATTCTGTGTTGTTTTTTCATTGGTAATTGTAGTGGATTTTTGTAAGCTTTAAAACAAGAAAATACCTTTTTCTCTCTGTGGAAGGATCTGCGCTCTGTGACTGCAGGTACTGCTGATGACTGAGCTGTGTAAAAATGTGTAACAAAACACAGTCCTTTTTTTGACAGTATGTTTGTAATGAGAAGTCACTGAATGATCTGAACTCAGCCTTCATCAGAGATCCCGTGCAGTGATGTGAAGGGAAATCCTGTAGTTGGTGCATCCTTAACCAAAGCAGTCTATTGGTAAATCTGGTTTTAGCAGAAGCAGCACATTCCTACTTTGTGTTTTACTCTCTAAATGGGATATCTTCAATTTCATATGAGCTCTGAAAAGTGATTTTATTTCTCCAGTGGTGTCAAATAGCAGGTTTGAAATGCATCTCAAAGGTTTAATGCTTAAGAGTTCAGTGGTCTGGAGCAAAGAATTCTCTGAAATGTATGCATTGCTTCTGGCTGGACAGTATTTGGGTAAAGGTGATAAAAATTAATAGTTCTTCCAATTTTTTCCCTGCTGTTTTTAGATTGGGGTAGCAGGGGGTTAAAATTAGTTCCCTGACAAGCTCTAATTAAGATTATCAGGCATTTTCCTATGCTGTTAAATGCACAGTAACATTTTAAAGGTGAAGGTTGGAAATAATGGTTAATGGTACAAGATTGTTAATTGTAAAAGGTTGGAGGCATAGCCATAGACATTGCAAGTAGGAAGCTGTTTGAATTTTTTCCACAATTTTAAAGCTCTGTACTGTTTCATGGAACATGTCATGCTTTCAGCATGTTTGTATTTGTCAAAATATACTGAACATACTTTCTAAAGCTTTCTAATGTTATGTTTCTAATACAGTAAGTCATTTAATCCAAAGTATGTGTATGTTTATTTGGAAAAAATAGACTGAGAAGCACTGAGTAAGTTGAAAATGTATATAAAATGGTAATTCTAAAGAAAGGACCTATGTTTTTGCAGTCGTGGGACAGGGAAGACAGTTGGAAAAACATCTGGACTTTGGAAACTTCAAGCAGCCTAGGAAAAACGAACTAAGCAAAGATTGCTTGCATCATGTTCACACTGGGATTTGTGTTCTGACAAGCTCCAGTATATTTTGTAAAGAACGTTACAAATTACTAAAGATAATAGAGCTGGAGAGGGGAGAAGAAGTTTGATAGAATTTTGAAGGTTACCGTGACCTGTGTGAAGAATTGAAACACGTTTCAGTGTTTCTCTTTCCAATCAGAAGGAATGCTCTGCTTGCTCTTGGAGGATTTTAAATCTTTCAGGCTGTTTAAAAAGACCATGTCTGGTTGCGTGAAATCTCATCCGCGGCTGCCTGGGCGGGGGAGCTCCAGGAACACGGGGACAAGGGAATGACTGATCTCTTCACTTCTGCAGGCCTGCTTTTAAGAGTTCTCCTACTGAGCCCTGGAGCTGTCTGTGTGCTGAGATTTAGAAAGAAAAGAAAAAAAATCAAAGCACCCAGGAACCATAATGCAGTTTTGAGCTGCAGTTAAAAGCAGAAGACTTGCTTTCTTTCACAAAAATGCATTGGGGGTTTAGCTCAAGGAAGAAAAGACCTGCCATTGTCCTTGAGCCTTTTCTCTCCACCTAACCTGGTGCTAAATATAAACCTGCTTCACAGTCTTTTTGCCTTCCCTCCCCTCATTTTGACTTGTCTATTTGCAGTTTCAGATCAGTGGAGAGCCTGTTTGCAGACTGAAATGCTGCTGTAGCTGGACCTTCTCATTTCTCTCTTTTTCTAATACTCAATTCTTTTTACATCAGGTTTTTATCAATCCCATAGCAGATATTAGTGAATCCAGTTTATCTTCTGAGGTAGGTAAATGGCTCAGAGAATAGGCATGATGTCCAGTTTTATTGGTTCTGGAAATGAAAATGATGCTGATAACCATCTCTGATAGGCACTGCACATCTGTTGAGCACTTCTGTTTACACAAGAGTCTGTTAAAACATAACCAGCTGCCTTTTATGCATAAAATGCTCTTTTCAAAGCTGTTTTAAGAGGAAGGCCAGGGGGAGGTTTGTGGCTTTCTATCCTACCCCCAGAAATCCCACGGACATCACTTGGGAGTGGAACATTTCACTGCTCTGTCATAACCTGGTATGGTGGTTATGCCAACACTTGTTTCAGCATTTGTGTAAGACAAGTGTATCAGTGTTATAACTAAAATACATGGGACAACACTGAAATCTGGGCAGGCGTGGCCTTGAAAGGATGTACATAACTTGTATGTGAAGGTTTTGCATATGATTTTGAGCCCTGACAATAAAATACATTAAATTTGATGTTCTTTGTATCTAAAACACACTGAGGTGGTACAATATGTTTGTTGCAGTTGCCAGTCACATCTGTATTATGTGCATGACACTCATTTAGGTGGATGTTTACTCTATGGCTGAACATCCTGGGAACATGAAGGGAATTTTTTTATCCCAGATTTGTAGCAATCTCATGGTGCTTCTCAGAACAGCTGGATGTGTCTGCTGCTTTTTGAGCTGTTTGAACTTTTGTACAGCTGCAGGATCTTTTGTCTTTGATCAGCACCATGAATTAAAACTGAAGAATATTCAGACATGAGATGAATATCTTATAATGGAGACTTGAACTGGTGGTTCACTAGAGGAAATAATGTAGAAAACTCACAGCTTTTGATTTTTCTACTTGATTGACAATTTGAAACCCATTGAAGAAGGAGCTTCTTCTTCACATCTTCAGAAAAACGAGGAAAAAAACTTAGCAGAAATCCATACATTTTCCTTGATTTTCTTTAAAATGCTGTGTGTTTCCATCTCATAGATAATTTTTCCAGCTAGCAAGTAGTGCAGGTAACTTGACATGAATCTCTATTTTGCCATTGAGCAGATTGCTCCTGAAATGAGAACTCAAACTGGGCACTGCTGTAGGCTTTGGGAACTGTGCTGATTCCCCTTTTGGGATGTACAGGGTTGTTCCCAATGTTGCACATAAGCACCTTCAAAGTGACTTGGAACACACTGTTAGCGAAGTGGAAACTGAGTTTTCTTACAGGCAAAAAGCCATGATGAGAAATACTTGCAGTGTGGATTTTATGTGGGACATTGCATGTTCTGGTGTCCTGAGTTGACATTTTGATGGAGCTTCTGTATTTCGGGAGATTCAGAAGGAATGTCACGTCCACTCAGACCATAAACGTGCTCTGTGGAAGCACTGTCAGCTCAAGACATTCTCAGACCTTGTTCTACTCCAGACACTTGCATGCTGATTTTTTCACAGTGTTGCCACAGCTTTTTCCACAGATCAGGCTGAAGGGATGGCGTATTGTGGGGAATGTAGAAATTTCCCAAGTTATTTAACATTGCTCTCAGCAGCAGGACTGAGTAGTGTCCTGGACTATTCAATAGTTGTAGAAATTTTTGTCTTGATTTTGGGTTGAAACTGATGTTTCAGGCACCCCATAAACACAAAAACTTGTACATGGAAAAATTAGATAAGATTTAACAGCTAATTAATTAGATTTCAACATTGTCAAAGAAAAAATTAATTTTTTCAGTCTCCTCTTGTCTGTAAAGTGGCCTCCCTCTGCAAGGGAGGGAAGGGACAAAGCTCCACATTGACAAGCAAATTATTTGTTAGGGGGTTGAACTAGAAGTGATACAGTATCTTTTGGGAACTATTTTCTAAGCTCATCTTGCTCTGCTGTCATTAATACCCCCAGCAGATCTGTTCTCCTGGGTATATGAAATATTAGCTTGGGATCAGCTGCTCTCTGATTAGCATGTGAAGTGACTTTGTGGCTAAAGATGGGTGTATTAACAATAGGAAGAATTAGAGTCCCAATGCACATGGGTAATTAGCAGGAGCCACCCGGGATTCCCATTTGCAGTGTTGCAAAAAGGCAGAGGGGAGACAAACCTTTCCAGGAGACTGAGCAAATCCTCTTCACCAGAAGTGATGGGATGGAGAAGTGGCAAAACCAAAACTGCCTGGGAGTAGCAGGTGGGTTCTGCAGCTGCAGTGCTGAGCAGCCTGATGGGCCAGAGAGCAGCATGAGTGGAATAAATATTGCAGCAGAACTCCCGTGTGAAGGTTGCAAGGAAAGAGGAACAGTGACCTGGAAAATATTTCTGGTTCTCTACACAAGCTACCAGAAGCATTTTTGCCTCTCTAACTTGGATGTGTTGAAGGCTGCATTAGTACTTGGATGTTTTTTGTGTATATACCAGCACTTTGGTGTGTTTTTTCTCGTTGGATGGTACTTAAGGTAGCTGAAGTGGAAAAGTGGAATGAAAAATATGGTTTGGTATAGCACCACATTTTTAGCTGTGGCTTTAAATTACTGATTTGTAAGCAGTAATACTTTGATATTTGAAGTTATGACTGCACAAAGTGCATCCTGAATAGAAATCTCTGATTCTTAAATTCTTTTAGATTTGCTGCGTGATGAAGGAAAGGAAAACCATATTTAAGACTACTCAGGTGAATGTTTCCTCTTTGGCTTTATTTGTATTAACTTCATTATTAAAATGATTTTTTTTAAGAAAAATTGTTTCTTAAAATTGGTAAAATCAAAAAATGATACCGTCATATCAATAGGGAGAGCTTTCTGTTCCTGTTTGACTTTGTCACGAGTTTAGCATGTCTGACCATTGGACCCAGTTGTGTAATACATTTCTTAGGTCTAAAATTGATAAAGCTGATCCTAAAAATAAATTTAAAAAGCCCTTTCTTCTCAAAGCTCACAGGAAATTCTAAAAAATTGGAGGCTTGTGAATATTTCAAGAATACTAAAACCCAAGTAGTGATTTACTCTCTGAGGTTTGTAGAGCTGTACTTTCAGAAAGTCTCATTAGACTTCCTAAACTTAGCTCTTTATCAATATAAAATCAAAGCTTTCCTCTGCAAAAGGCTTTGTGA